AAAAATAGAATGATCGGACGTATTAAGTATATAACCTTGTAGCCCGTGAAAAACTCTACAAAACTATTTATAGGAAAATTATTATTACAAATACTTTCAACTAATACCAAGGCCCAAAATGATCAATGCTTTGAATGCATGATTATCTATCGATAAATCCAGTCTGATTCTCTCAGAATTTATTATATTACCATTCGACGCGCCTCGATTTGCTCCATAACATAGTATGTTTGGTTTATTAATTCTGAGCAGATCACCAAATCCGACACGGTCCTTTTTGATTGTCCATAGTAAAATTAATTAATTTTGTTTTTTCCTTACTCAAGTTCTCGATTTTTATTTTCTGTTAATTCAATAATTTCACGTAAAAGTTTAGCTTTTTCTTCACTATATTCTGATGCAGCTAAATGTGCATCCTATAAAAAAAAAATAAATAATTCGAATTGAAACAAAATTTTTTTTTTTTTATATTAATATTCTATATTTACCAATGGTACTAATTTTTGAAAAATATCTTGTCCACATACTTCTGCATCATGACAATCAAATGGTTGTGATTTAGCAACTATAGCTCCTTGAATAGCTGGTAAACTTGATAATGTTGGTACTTTTTCAAAATAAACACTATCATTATCACGTTTAGCTACTTTATATCTATAAAATAAATATTTATAGACAAAAAAAAAAATTAAAATTATTCTAATCAACATACTTTCCCATAATAACATCATTTGTAAACATATGTGCATCTTTAAATATATTTGTTTTATCTGATGAAATTTTTTCAGCATTTTTCCATGCTTCTTTAAGTCGTTCAACAGCAGCTTCATAATAACATACAGATTGACCATGTTTTTTATTTTCTTCAGCTATTAAACCACAACAATAATATGTTAAAGCAAAATAATATGATAATTTATATGTTAAATAAACACGCCATTCCTAAAATAATAATTATAATAAAACATATTATTGTTGCTTTTAAACATTTTTTTCTTTTCTTTTTAATAAATTAATATTTTAATTTATGTTTTGATGTTTAAGAGACTTTTAATTTTGCGATTTTGATTGGTTCATATAGTATGAATATAGAGAAACTATATGAATCCAGTACTATTAATCGCATAGAAATTAAATGAATATTGTATAAAGATACAAAATTATCTAGTCATAGGATTCGAACATAGTATCTTCTACTTATTAGACAAATGCACTATAATTCTATTAGATTCATTATGAGTTAGTCTTAAAATTATCTTGTTCTATATGATTTTTATCTGTTCTACTGAAAGTATTATAAAATAATTAATATAATTGACTCACAAAACCTATTCATTATATAAACTTATTTTTCTTAAATTCTCATTGTGTTTTTTTTCTTTTATCATCTATGAATAGATGTTCATTCAAATATAACTTTAAAAAAAACAAACATACTCGAAATCTTTTTGATACAATTGAATTAATTCCTGGTTTCATAAGATTAAGAAGTGCCATTTGATAATATTCTGATATTTGCATAGCTACATGAGCATTAACTGAAGGTGCTCGTTGATCAAGTAAAGATTTTTCAAGTACAGCTTCATGTGCTTGTGCCTAAATAAATCATTATTTAATTATAAAAAAAGAAAAAAAAAATATTTCAATTACCAAAAGTATATGAACTTGACATGTTAATAAATCTGGTGTTAAATCTGATGTATATGTTGTATATTGATCACGTACTTTTTCATAACATGCAGCTGCACATCGAAAATACGTACAAGCATTTTTAATACTCTAAAAACAGAATTTTTTTTTGTCTCTTCTATGTATAAAATTTTTGTTTTAATACGTCATGTGTTCTTCGTGATTCATTAGCACCTAATCGTGAATACATTGCACCAAGATTATATAATATACATGCTTCTTCAAATCGAATATCATTATATGTATTATCTTCTTTTTGAAAAGCATCTTCCCTTAAGTTTAAACAAAAAAATTTTTTTTTATTCTATGAAAAATTTTTACCATGTAAATCGAACAGCACATTCTGTATCAGGTAACATAGGAAAACGATTTCGTAATAATTGTAATTGACAATAATATCGTTTAAGTAATTGAATACCATTTTCATCAGCTGAAGAATTAATTGTAGTCTACAAAAAGAAAATAAAAAAAAATTTATTTAATTAAAATAAATTTACTTGTCGAAGACGATTCATTTGTTCACATTCTTGAGAATATTTATTACCATTTTCTTGATAAGTTGATGTAATATACTAATAATTAATATGTAGAAGGAAAAAAACAAAAAGAATTTATATATTTAATAAAAATTAAACATACATTAGGAATTTTTTCACATAAATCAACTGATTCAATAGATACTTTTGGATCAAAACTAATAGCTGGTAGACGAGGACAACCTTTAAAAAAAAAATAGTTCGATATAAAGAAGAAAAATAAAATTTTCAAATAAATTTACCTTCCATATTGTATATGAAATAATCTAAAAATGATGATAATAGAATAGAATTATCTGTTTTTTTTGTTCCTAATGACTTCTCACCAAAGAAAACTATCCGAATAACTAAAAAATAAAAAAATAGAATAGATCAGACTTTTAATTAGTCATAAATATAAACAAAAATATCATTGGTTGATTTATTAATGCTTGTCACTGAATATATCAAAGGAAGGTGGCGTGATATGTTTGCTATAGAGAAAAAAATAATCTCATTCTGCATATTTATGAGATGAGATCAAATTCAACAACAACAAAAAAAAATTAATATTTGTTTTATTTATAAGTTTTTAAGATGATGCGAAGAAATGATGATTTTCCCATAGGTTATTTAGATCAGAGATGGACAAAGTCGCACCGCGCCTACCCGCGCTTCCCCACGCCGTTGCTCACGCCTACGCTACACTAGTCTGAGCCTCGATGAGCGCATGCTTAGAGCATCCGGGTATTCGGTGGAGTTTGAGAAACTGATTGGTAGAGCAAAGAGAAAGAGAGATGTGCGTAGCGCCTAGGCACGAGCAGTGGCGCGGAGAAGCGCGGGGAGGCGCGGGGAGGCGCGGTGCGATTTTGTCCATCTCTGATTTAGACCTTGAGTTCAATGGGCGTAGCCAGGAATTTTTGAGTCATGGGCAATTCATCAGCCGAACTATTTTGAGCTACGAGCGGCTAAGGGCAACCGTTATGTTTTCAGAAATATCTATGGGCAATAACTGTTCAAGCACTGCATAGATGAATAAATCCATGGGTAATGGCCCTACCCCTGACTACACCACTGCTTGAGTTAGTTTTTTTCTTTTGTTGAGAACAGGAGGCACAGTCGAATTTTTTTCGATTGATTTGTTAAATCGTTGACAAACTTGATGCTCTCTTAATATATTAATCCAACAAGTAGTTCTCTTGAGAAACAGTCTATTGCTGTAGTTCAGTAAAAACATGCAATGTAAAACTCATTTAAATAGTAATAAGTCCTATTTTAGTCTGTCATGTTTAATATATGCTGGCCTTCGATTACAAACTTTCGAAATTCAGCAGTGTCACATATCCAAAATTTTGGAGATGCATCCACGTCTAGTGCGGGAGATGCGACATCTCCTGCGAGAGATGTAGGCGCATCTCCACAATTTTGGATATGTGACACTACTCAAAATTTAGGTATTGTACGTCGACCTGCATCTTAAATTTATGTGCTTTACTTGCAAGAAACAGCTATACACATTACCTGGTTCTTTTCGTAAAAAGTGATTACCGGGAGGTAGTGCTGCGAAGATCCCTCTCAGGGTAAAGTCAAATCTCGTAAAATTTTTCCACTTTTTTTGACAAAATATAGGATTTTTCAAAAAAATAGGAATTATAGAACGAATCGGAGCCCAGTATATCCTAACATTAAGAGCAAATGAAAATTTCATTTAGTAATATTCTTATTTTGAAATACACAATTGAAAAGCATCGTAAAAGAATACTATTGTCGATAGAAAGATAGGACGATTGTTATATTCAATTTTCTATTTTAAAGGTTTTTCAATATATTAAATTTTTTCACAATTACATAATACAAATATTTGACAAGATCTTAACAATAGAGTGGGATCATAATCACTTTCAATTCTAATATTCTATATTCGCCATTATTAACAAAAAAAGCGTTTATTTTTACATTAGAATCGTTTGCATGTAAACAAAAACTTATTATAAAATAATTGATTTTTATTGAATATAAGGCCTAATAATATTTTACAATGAAAATTATTTCATTAATTTTACATATAAAATATTAAATTTCAAAGTGATTAAAAAATTTGAAAATATTTTCATGAATAAATTTGATGAAAAAAACTTCATATGTCACGAGTTTTTTTTGTATAGTAAAGTTGCTAGTCTTCCAACTATTTAATCACTATGGAGTCGGAACTATGCGCATCATATAGACTCAAATGAGGTTTTGATATCCTGAAAAAAGTTCAAGCCCATTGTTTATTACTATGAAGTGATACCACGAATTTACAGTAGTTTTTTAAATGAACATCTCCGTAGCAGTGGCGAAACTAGAATTTTAACGGTGGAGGGGCTCAGCTGGTCGAGCTCTAAATCGGTAGTGGGCTCGTAAAAGTGTTTAGCTGACGCAGCTTCGCTCGGTGGTGGAGCTCAAAGCTTTGGTGGTAGGGCTTAGCCCCACCTGGCCACCCCCTGGTTACGCCCTACTCCGTAGGCTCCTGAAGAAAACTAATTTTTCGAATTTTGTATAGAAATAGATCTTAAAAAGATAAGTAGGTATATGTTACATATTTTGTAATAAAAATAGTATACTTCAATACCTTTTGTTTCGGTTTGAATGCTTGCAAACTGTTTCAATAAAACATTGATATTGAGCGCCCTCTCTTTTCTTTACTTAAGATTTGACTACGTATGTAATGCAATAGGAATTTAGTTGAAGAACTAGTCAGACTTTTTTCTTTTTGTTTTATTAGAATTTTCAATCTTTTAATTTATTTCAGTGATGACATCACATAAATTTATAAAACATTTTCGAGATTTACAAGCCGGTGAAAATGAAAAAGCTGGAGCAGCCGAAACACTTGCTTATCTTAATGGTTTGTATTATAAAACAAAACAAAAAAAGCAATTTCTTATTAAAAAATATTTAATTTTTTTAATTATCTTAGGTGAATTATCATTTCAAGAATATGAGAAACGTGTACGTGAAGTAAATACGGATTATTCAAATGTATCTGTTGGTAAAATTCTTAATACACGTGAAACTGAAATAGTTGATATTGATAAATTAATTGATGAATTAAGTGATATTGATGATTTAAGTGGATTAAGTAGTAGTATAAGTGATAATTCTGATGCATCTCAACATGATAATGAATTATTAAAAAGAAAAAAAAAAAAAAATGAAAATGAATCTAATATAAAATATCGTCAACGAAAAAAAGCAAAACAAGATTCAGATGAAAATTCTGATGATGATGATGATGATGATGATGATGAAAAAAAACCTATTGATCAAAATGAAATACGTAATAAAATAGTAAAAGATCTTGAATTAATGCGTTTAGCTAAACAAAAAAAGAAAAGTATGAAAAAAACAAAAAATTTTTATTTAAATTCAATTATTTTTCATTTTCTTGTTTTTTTTAATAAGAACAATCAAATAAATCAAAATCTTCAACAGCACGTAAACGTCCTTTATCATCAGTAAAAAAACTAAACAACTGGTTTTTATTGATTTAATTTAAAATTCAAATTTTTATTTTAGTCTGAAAAAGTACCAAAAAGTCGTCTTAATCAAGAATATCAAGCATTAATGGGTGAAGCTAATATGGCTTATGTTCATGGTGATATACAAAAAGCAATAAGAATATGTCAAGAAGTAATTACAAATGGTAAAATATTTCTTTATTCAAAAAATAAAAAAAATTATATTATATATATTAGTTCCAAATGCTGCTGAACCTTATTTAACAATTGCACGAATTTATGAAGATCAAAATGATCATAATAAAGCATTTGAAGTAAATGAATTATTTATTAAAGAGAGAACATTGATTAAGTTTTCTTTTTTTTTTCAAGATGAATTTTGTTGCTGCTCATTGTCAACGTTCAAAAGATTTATGGCTTCGAATGCTTACTGAATGTCAACAACGTAAAGCTGATGATTTAATAACAACTTGTTATAATAACCGTAAGTATTTTTTTGTTTACAGTAAGACAGTTGATATCAGAGATGGACAAACTCGCACCGCGCCTCCCCGCGCCGTTGCTCACGCCTACGCTACACTAGTCTGAGCTTCGATGAGCGCATGCTTAGAGCATCCGGGTATTCAGTGGAGTTTGAGAAACTGATTGGTAGAGCAAAGAGAAAGAGAGATGTGCGTAGCGCCTAGGCGCGGTGCGATTTTGTCCATCTCTGGTTGATATATTCAATAAATTGAAAATTTTATAAAAAAAAATATTAATACCTTTAAAAGTTTATAATATCTAAATGAATAATATTAGAAAGATATATGAATTGTTTTCTATGTTGATTAATTAGAGCTTGTTGAATTTTAAATTGTTCGAATAAAAATGTAATATTGAATATTTCAGAAATAATAGAAAATATTTATTGTAATTTAATCGAATAAGTTAATTTTTAAGATTTTATTAATATTATAGAGAGATAGATTCGAAGTCATAGAAATTTAATTGGTAAATAGTTGAGATATGAGATCAAGTTTTGGTGGAGATTTTCGAAAACAATATTTTCAAGTTACTTTCTTTTGAGCCTACGTAACTAACTTGTTTCATTAGAAAGTTATATAACTTCTTCTAAGACTCTCGATTTCAGCCAATTGATATGTGATAGTGTCCGACTCGGATCGGGTCACTAACATTTGGTCGATTTTGAACCTTTTATAAGACAAAAGGCAATTTCAGATGAGATAATAGTTTCGAATATTGATCTGTGATCATTCGCGGAAACGCAGCTAGACAAGGAGCAATTCATCATACTCAACTGAATGGTGATATTTGTTTTTAGATTCGAATTGATCTGACTTTGTTATCTTAATACTTCCGAAATGATGACTTCTTCGTTCTATGAAGAGTGACGATGAAATTTCAGAAATATTAAGATAATGAATTCAGATCAGTTCAAACCTAAAATTAAATATCACCATTCGATTCAGTGTGTTGAACTCTGTCTAACCGCTGTTCTGAATGATTACAAGAAGTGTTTTATCTAGGTTTTTTTCACCGGAGGGGCGATTTGAAATTCCGAGAGGGCGAAAAATTTTTTTCGAGGGGGGGCGGTACCCTTCTGGATAAAACACTGATTACAAGTCTATTTGCTGAACTCAAGGATCTCAGAAAATGTCTTATGACTCCCGAATGAAACACATTAGGAATGTCGGTCTTATGTAGATTGAAAGAGAAGAATTGTTTTCAAAAATCTTTACTTTGAAGGTTTCTATAATGTTCTTGTATCAAAAATTATTTAAATATGATAGAACACATTATATGTTGAAATGGATAATATTTATGATGATGATGATTTTATTTTTATAAAAACAATAAAAAAAAAAAAAAAGAAGTTTAATGAATAAGATCATTTTCATAAATATGATCAATATATTGAGGTAAAACAAACCATTGAAGTGTTTCACCACCAAATATAAATGGTGATTTATTTTCTATTTGTTTTGATTTTTGTATTTGTTCATTTGTTTTATTTTGTAAAAAATTTAAATTTTTTATCATTTGTTTAAATGATAAAAAACATGAAGATCTTATTGAAGTTTCTATAATTTGTTCATATTGTTTTTGAATTGTTTCAACATTATCAAATATTTGTTGAAGTGTATAAATTTTTCTATGTTTTAAATTATTATTTACATAAGAATCATTACTTTGTTTATTATATAAATCATCATAAATATATTCTTGTTTATTATGATAATAATTTTTTGAAATTATTGTTGATAAATATTCATTTTTTGATGTTGAATTCATAGAAACATTCATATTAATATCTATAACAGTTGAATGCATATTGTCAATATGTATGTGTTTCATATTCGAAGATGAGCGAAGAAATGAATGAGTAGAAAAACACGAATGTATCAAATTGAAGGAGAAGAAAACAATTGTCGTCAGATGTTTACAAAAAATAAAACAAACACAGGTGTTATCATAGCAAGCAAATAGAGCAGCAGATGGTTCATATTCATTAGAAAGATATCACATATGATTTCTCGTAGTCACATGTCACAAAATATTTGTTTAGTGATTAGAAAATGGAAGTCATATTTCTTGATTTGCCTAAGTTATCGAGCTTATTAAATTGCAGAAAAAGAAAAAGTAAACTTATCTACTTCAAATCGTTATTTTAATTCATACAAAAAAAAAAAAAACTAGATATGCTCTATTATCTAGATCGATCATACAAAAAATTTTGGCCAAAATTTTGTTAGTCTGGAAAACTCGTATATGAACATCTCATGGAATTTCTCATCCTCACATTTGGAATCAGTATGACTATCGATATGATATACCCAGGTCGAAGATTCCGATCATCGGAACAGAGTAGCAGTATTCCGGTGAGAAAATTTTTGGATTTTTTTCAGTCGGAAGACTGCTACCCTGTTCCGGCGACTTCCGATGCTTTCCTGCCGGAATCCGCCCGTACTTCTCGACCTGGGTGCGACTGTAATATAGCTAAGCAAATATTATATATCCAGATATTACAATGAATATTTTTACTAAATATAAGCAAAAATCATGTCGATTAAATAGCATGTATTAGTTCTTTATTTAAATAGATATTCAGATATAAAAACAAAAATGGCTCAGGAGATGTTTTTCTATATCATTTGATACAATAATGAAATTTAATAATTAATTAAATAAAAATATTTCTCTTATTTTTATAGTTGTTAAAATTGATCCTAATGATATTAGTATGCATTTAAAACGTATTGAACATATTGAAAAACATGGAACACGAAAACATTATTTAAATAGTTTACAATCACTTCTTATGGCTTTACATCCATCAGAAAATTCTGAACAAAAATCATTATATTTAGAAAAATATCGAATTCTTATACAAGTAAATATTAAAATTATATATAAAAAAAATAAATTATTTTTATAGGCAATTCTTGCATCTGAACGAAAAGATAATGAATTACAAACACTTTTCTACAAAGGTCTTAGTGATTTGGGCACTGATTTTCCTTCTGAATGTGAGATTCTAATTAAAAATTGAAGTGAATATTTAATAAGACAAAAAAAAATCTATTTTTAGATATTGAACGTCTTTTACAAATGCAATACAATTCAAAATTATATCCTGAATTACTTAAAGTACGATAACAAAATTATAATAAAATAAAATTATTTTGAACTTTTTTTTTTTTGTATTATTATTATTCTTTTAGAATTTAATTAATTTTACGGGTGTACATTTATCAAAATTCAATACTGAATTAGAATTACCTATTGATACAACTGATTTAGATGATCTCAAAGAAGCAGAGTAAGAAATAGAGTATATCTTTCACAAGATTTCATTATTTGAAATTTTTGTTAGTGATTATAAGAATAATGATGCGAAACAAGATATTAAATCAAATATTTATAACTAATATCTTTAATCTTACAGAATTTAATATAATTACAAAACTTATAATCACTACAATCAGTTTAAATATGAAGCTATTCATATTGAACTTTTATCATTTCTTTAAATTTTATACTATGTAATTTAAAAGTACTATTTCCGATCTTTAGAAATACTTAGTTAATAATCAATTTTGTATTAGTTAACTATGACTCATTTGTTCAGATTATTCGTTTGAACATACATTTTGAATCATAACTTTTGTTTTTGGAGAATGTATGTAAATAACATGTTACGAGAGTTGAAAATATTGTATAAGAAATACTCGACATCAGATTAATTTTTTGTTATCTATCAAGCAAATATTTTTCTACTATGTTTTTAAAGTTTAATTTTTCATGATAACTGAATTTATAAGTTAATCTGATCATGTTTTATGATCATTCACAATTGAAAGGACAAATAATACATTAAAAAAGGAAATTCTCTAGTAAGACAATGCATTGTGACATATCGGAAATTGTTTTATTAAAAATATCATATATGTTATGAGAAAAAAAATTTCCAAATGTCAATTTACTTTTCAACTGGGACTTACGAGGGAAGGGCATCAACTGTCCAATCGCTTTTGAGCCGAGACTATGTGCATTATGTAGATCCAAATGAGTTATGAATACCCTGAAAACAGTTCGGGCCGCTAGCCTATTGCTACGGAGATAGTGCACTTTTACAGTATTTTTAAATAAATGCCGTGGTCCCCCTCAGGAATATAGAAAAACTGATTTTCGAACTTCGACTTGAAACTTTGGATAGAGACTGATCTTAATGAGAATAGTTTGCTGTGAATATTTCAGATTTTTTCGCCCTTTCTATCCTAGGATACAGTTATGAATAACTTGTCGATATAAACTGGCAGATTTGATGTTCTTATTTTAGGATAGAAGCAGATGAAAAAATCTTAGAAACATTCAGAATAAACTATTCTGATTAAGGTCTGTCTCTATCCAAAGTTTCAAGTCGAAATTCGAAAATCAGTTTTTCTGGTGTCCCTGAGGGGGACCACGGCATTCATTTTTAAAGAATACTGTAAAAGTACACTATCTCCGTAGCAATAGGCTAGCGGCCCGAACCTTTTTCAGGGTATTCATAACTCATTTGGATCTACATAATGCACATAGTCTCGGCTCAAAAGCGATTGGACAGTTGGGACCCTTCCCTCGTTAGTGAACTATATTCACCGTAAACTGTATTCATAGTTATGAATGCGACTAAGCTATCAGTTTTTTTTTATTTTAAACAAGACTTAGGTTTTCGAAAAATTCGTATTTTCAAATTATTGATCTCTACAGAATTAGACCATAGGCAGGAACTCTTTTCACAATAGACATAGAATGTAAATTGCTGAAATACAATACAACTTTAATGATAATTATATTTATAAATGATTTTTATCGAACTATATAGCAATGAAGTTTGTTATTATTTTTTTCATTTAGTTTTCTTTTACCAGAATTTTATCGAACAGATTATTATGGTATGTTTCTTGTTACAATTATTGATATGGGTTGTATATCAGTTGCATTAGTAATTATTAATTTTATAATACAAAAATAAACATAAAATTTGCTTTGTTACTTTTTATTTTATTCTAGCGTCTTTTACCTAATTATAAATCTAATGTACGTTCAACAGATCAATTATTATGTCTTGATGTAATGTCTGCACTTGCATTAAATGATCATCTTATTGAATCATGTCAATTATTTGAATATCTTTCATCATTATCAAAATTATCAGCACAATCATGGTTTCAATATTCCGAATGGTTAATGTCATTATCAAAATTTCATGAAGCATATGAAGCACTTGAACAAACATTAAGACTTGATTCACAATATAAAGAAGCACGTTTATCATTATCAGCATTACAAAAACAAATTGGTATGAATGAACAAAGTCAACATACATTAGCTGAAGTTGTTAGTCGACCAATAAAACAAGAATTAAATGATAAAACAGACGATAATAATAATAATAATAATAATAATAATAATAATAATAATGATGATGATGATGATGATGAACAACAAGAAGTAACAGTTGAAAAAATTCATTTATTAGTTGAACGTTGTATAACATTATATGATCAAAATCAATTAACATATTTTATACCATGTGCAATGCAATTATTTTTTGGTTCAATTAAATATTTATTAACAATTGATTGTTCAAAACGTTTAATTAATTGTGGAACACGTGCACGTCGTCTTGAATTAATACAAAAATTAGTTGATGAAAAACGTATTATATTAAATCCATCATATACAAGAATAAATACAGTATTAAAAAATCGTATTATTGATTTATATGGAAAATTTTGTGATGTACTTATACATATTAAACGACATGATCTTCTTTTAAGAGTTACTGCAGCTGGAACAGTTATTCCATTTCTTTATGCAAGAATTGATTGGTATTATTTATATTCTTTTTTATTATATAAAAATTCCGAACATAGAATAAATACATACGTAAAAACAAAGAATAATATTAGTAGTTCTATTGAATTAACTAAAAAGTTTCTGAGAAAAAGATATCTATATATTTAATTTTCAGTGTCTGTTTCTCTGTGCTGGATCAAAGATTAAAGGTCAAGAAGGCTATAAAGGGGTAAAGTAATAAGGCCGTAAGGCTACATGGACTATTAGCAATATAAGGATATCATGCCGTAGGACTTCTATGTACATAATGTCGAGTGTCTGTTACTGAGTGAAAGGTTTGAGGTCGTACGTTAAAAAAAACCTGTCGTGCAGTAGGCACGGGTTCTTGCTAGTTTTTAAATAATATCTTGTACTTGTTGCAGGTTTATTATTATTTTATGAGATAAACTTCAGAGTTTTTTGAATATTGAAATTTATGAATTAGGATTTGAAAAGTTCTAAGCAGTGTTCTGCAGATTTTGAATGACTTATCTTGATTGCTAAGGCTTAGTGAAAAACGAAAAAAATCTTTAACCTAAACTTATATTCGTTGAAAAACATCTAAAATTTTTCACAATAAAATAATACAGTGAATTAAATTAGTCAAATATTTAACTTATTTGTGATATCTTTATCTAACGAGGGTATATATTCAACTGTCCGATCGCTTTTTGCTTGAGACTATTGCAATTCAATCAATAATAGTAATTAATAAAAAAAATGTGTGCTTGGATTTAATTTTCCAATCATTGCTCGTCTATTTTTGCATAGAGTCGCTGAATGATCGAATTGCAAGTTAACATTTTTTACACAGATTGACCTTACAGTTATTATAAACTCTTAAAAGTTTGAGCTAGAATGAACGTATCCTTGCTAAAATCTTTTTTTTTCGTCTACTTTTCAAAAGAAGAACGTTTCTATGACAAACTAATATTTTGATAAGAATATAATTGTCCCAGCTTGAATATTGAATTATTTTTAAATCACTTTAAGTTGTATCTATGGACGAAATTTCAATCTGAAATTTGATCAGCCAGGTTCTTAGCGATTCTATACTGATAGGTATACAATACTCATAAGTCAATAAGCGAAGAATGGAATATCAAACGAAAACAGACTTTTCTTTACTTATTATGATCGATGTTATTCTAAATATGTACGAAAATAATATAAAATTTATTACAAAAATCTATAAATTATCTTAGTTCATACTAGAGATATGTATAACACGATAGATTTTTCAGTTGTGATATATATTTATGATTTATACAACTTAGCTATTAAATCATTTTTTTGTTCTAGGCTTATTCTTACAGAATTTTTATTATTTATCAGTTTAATGTTACAACAAAATGGTGATCTTGCATTTCAAACATGTCGAGAAATATTTCGTTGTTATTCAAAATCAACAGTTATACAAAATTTATTTGCTTTAACAGCAACAATAACACCAAGTGTTCGTTTACAAAAATTTTGTGTACGTTCATTACAAAAACGACCTAATTCACCTATACTTCATCATATGGTTGGTAATTTTGCATTAATTGGTGGAACATATCGTTTAGCAATTATACATTATATGAAATTATTTCGTTTAACACCTGATGAACCACTTGTTTCATTATTACTTGCTATATCATTTGTACATATTGCTTGTCAAAAATATGCTTATTCAAGACATCAACGTGTTTTACATGCACTTGCTTTTCTTAAAAAATATAGAAATTTACGTGGAGAATGTACAGAAACATATTATAATATAGGTCGTTTAATGCATTTTCTTTCATTACATTATGCTGCTGCATATTTTTATCATAAATGTTTAGAAACTGAATCACCTATTATTGATAATAATGATATATATGGATTAAAATATCAAGCAGCATATAATCTTGCTTTAATTTATAAAGCAAGTAAAAATGAAAAATTTGCTCGACATATTATTCGAACATATATGACTTTATAATTTCTATATGAATTATTTTGTTTTCTTTTTTTTCAAATAAATATATATATATATATATATTGTATATATGCATTGAATAAATTGAAATGTAACATTGAGAATTTCAATATTAGCTAATGATTTTAAAATGTTGTCAACAAAGATGAAAAATAAGTATTTCAAAATTTATATGAAATTTTATAGTAAATATTTTAAGATTTATTACATATTAAACACATTTCAATAGAAAAATTGTGTATTTCGAGAAATTCAATAAACAACTAAGCGCAATATATGTTTGCTCATAACTTTATTCTCATTGGAACAAGTGAAACTCATCAGATTTATGCATAAGTGTCGTACTTAATCATCTATTGCATGTCAATGTAGACTGATGAAAATATTGAATTAGAACAATAAGTCATTAAAAAAGGATTAGATTATAACTTATGATGATATTATAGCAAAGACATCTCTGTCATATGTTGGAAAAGAACGAATTATGCACCACTGTGTGCTGTAAAAATTTAGTGATTACTCTCATAGATTCTAAAGATTATGATATATTATAATAGACCACAAAGATACGAAGCTATCACATAGATAGATTAATCGAAAGTCATTCAATGCTAGTTGAATGAATGACAATGAATTATTAATGATTATTGTTCATCAAAATAGAATTCCATTATAAATATTAGGTTAAATAATCCCACACTTATACATAGCGAAGACAGAGCTTAAATTATAGATTAAAATGAAAATTAACTGAAGTTTGTTGATGATCAAATATGCAAACATATAATATCATCGTTTTTAGTAAAGAAAAGTTGTTGACATAATTAATTGTTATATTATTCTTGCTTCAGAAGAAAATGTACTAATGTAAAAATAACAGTGAATGTTATTTGGTCTTTTTTAAGAAGAATAGTATATTCACTCGAAACTTTAAATACAACTAGAATAACAATTAATTATGAAAAGAAAATTTTTCCTAAAGAGTAATATCAACAGATACAAAAAATAGAAAATTTGCTTGACATTCTTCATTCAGCTTTATTATCATTCAATTTAATTAATTATTCAGCAGAAGAAAATACGCCTACGGACTATACAGTTTTTCTCTAAAGAATTCTTCCAAACCTATTTGAAGTGACCAATACAATGAAAGATTATTATACAGCAACTATTTTAAACAATCAATAAAATATCTCTTTTTTTCTATTTATCGCTCCTAGAGAGTTTAGTCGTGAAAGAGATTCTAACTTTGATGATAATAATAATGACAAACAATAGGATATGTAAACGACCATAGATGGTAAAATTACGATGATTTCTGGTTTGAAAATAACTGCATTTACAAAGCATTATTGAGGTACCTAAAATCACTAATTAGCTATGATGTCCTGGTATATAAACAATCCATTTTGTTCAGCTCTACCTGTTACTATCAAGCTTTTTATGATCCGATCATCCAAAGAACTAGTTGATGCTAAAAGCATGTTTTTGTTGTTGTTGTCGAATGAAAAGGTTCTTTTTTTTGTTAGTGTTAGATAACCAGTCACTTTTTGCAGTTGTTTTATATATCACTTCATGGTTTTTATTGAGCTCTCTCTAGTATAGTCAGTTACGGCGTTTAAAAACAAGTTTGAATTATGCTGCATGGCAACCAATCTTAAAGTCACTGTTAGATTTGTACAGATATCGGCAGTTTTTCTTTGATAGTTTATATCTGCTGTTTCTATGTAAAAAGTATGATACATAGTGAGGGTATTTCGAGCAAGTCTTGACACATTCTTGTTCTAACTCATGATAATGCAAAAACTCTTCATTTAAGGTAAATAACGAAATATTTATGATATTTTATATTTTCAATACGATCATAGAGAAGTATTCAAGTTCACTCTAAATATTTTTAGTAGATGTATGCTTTTACTATCTAAACTTGAAAGTTTCTTTTTGCTTCTATCTCAAAAATATTTCTTGACGGATAATGTATTAACTGTCAGCGACTTAAGGCAAGCGAAGTTTTTTTCTTTTTTTTTTGTCAGTAACATTAATTAAAAACCACGGCATTACTAGCAAACAATAAACTGTAATAATTCAATCATACTATCGTACCGATCAAAATTATAAAAACTTCTGCTGTACCTACATCCTCTATTTTATAATTGTACTCCTTGGAGATTGGATGCAATAGTGATTAAAGATGATCATTGCACGAGAGAATAGAACAAAACTGGATTCAACTTAACTAGTTCAACTTACATGAGTGTCACAAGCAAAATCGAATTTTAGGTAAAAAGTTTATTATGGAAGGTCGTTTACAGCTTATTAAAGAAATCAATCATATTTGGATTAAATTAATGATCTCACTATCAAACTAGCAAAGGTAAAATATGAGCTACGCATAGTATATACAAACCAAAATATTCGAGTTTCAAGGTATTTTATCTGTCATGTGCTCACACTACGAAATTGAAGCAGGTTTTTTTTTCGTTCTTCGTTATGGTGAATAGAGCAAGACAAGCTACATCAAATAAATAGTATAGCGCATATTGAAAATCAATTTTTCAAAGTGCCAAAAAGCATTAGTGATAAATATAAGGGTAATAGACACAACATGTTGCCGGTTGTAAAATTGGTTTTTAATATGCGTAATATTATTTTTTCTTATGTAGCTTGTCTTGTTCTATACACCATTAAGAAAAACGAAAAAAATACAGCTGCTACAATTTTGTAGTGTGAGCACAACGCGAGACGAAGTACCTTGAAACTCGAATATCTTGGTTTGTATATACTATGTGTAGCTCATATTTTATCATGGTTAGTTCTGTGGTGAGATCATTAATTTGTTCCGAATAAGATCAGTTTCTTTAACTTGCAGTACACAAAATTTCATTGTAAGCATTTTTGTCTATAATTTAATTTTGCCTATGATACTCATATATGTTGAACTAACGAAATTGAGATCAATACAGGTCGTGGCTGGGCGGATGCAAGTGAGAAGAAGATCCACACATTTATTCGACTCATACAAGATGAGAAAAACGAATAATGACTCATGCTGGTCCAATCCGGCTTGATCAATTTAGACTGGTACCGATATTATTGAGAAAAAAAAACCCTACCGTTTGCGACACTGCCTTGTACAGTGGTAACGATACACACACCCACAACCACATTCAAACCACTAATACCTACAACCAACCACACTCACACCAACAGCTCGAACCCACATATATACCCTCAGCCGAAGATAGAAATTAAACAAATAGCTATTGATATTACACCTCACTCATTGTTTAGAAGAACCAATCAAATCATTCAGTCGATAGAAAAGTTTGGATTCAATATACGATAATGTTTAAATGTTTTTGAATGATTCGTTTACACTTGAGGAATCATGTGCAAATTGGATACATTATTGTTGCAAACGATGCGAGCTATAAAAAGCATGAATGAAAAGAAATTTTCGTTCTGCTATTTGCTAAAGAGAGAGACACAAGAGAAGTAACTCGACAGGATTCGAAATATTTACATCGTTTTTTCTTTCATCTGCTACCTTATAATGCAGCATAGTATGAGCTAGTAGTCTTTATTTGTCATTCGTCGAGTTTGATTGACAATTAACGCACATGCTATAACGATAAACATTTGGATATTTTCTCCTGAAGAAAAAGAACAGAATGAATCAAACATACATTAGATTGCCAGTGATGAAATTGTGCACAGTTTGATCAACTTCATTTTTTAACATCGTATAGAAGCAATCTGTAGTAAAACTGTATTGGTGATAGTCAACAACAATGGCATCCGTGTCAGCATAGAAATATTGCAGAATTTTGCGTCAGAAAAACTGTTAGTATCAATCGATGGCTAAAATTCATAATCAGATATGAATACATTTATTATTTCTCGGACTTGATCTGATGAATTTTGCCATTTTTAAAAATCTTATTTTTAAACAATCTCAACTTCTTTTTTGTCAGAATTTTGTAGCATATTAAATTTCTTGGAAAATTCTAGATTTATCCACGATACTATCAATATCGTACACAATATTATTTTAAAGAAATTCACAAGAAAGGTAAGTGTGTGTGTGCATCTATGTTTGTGGTTGTAGCTATGACTGGTAATATTAGTGTAGGTGAGCGCATGCATCACATTTCTAATACCGACATCCTATACACTGAGACAAACTCACATTGACACTTATACATTTTCATAGTGCTATCGAGTTATTATTTAGGACGCTATCTCATAAACAGTATTTTTCGAAATCTCGTTAACATTTATCGATATATTGTAAATTTTCGGAGAGGAATATTGCAACATTTCCCAATGATTCTTAAAGCTCTTATTTAAAAAGCCGATATGGAGCTCGTATTTTGAGAGCGTCGTAGTTGCGTAATTGATTATGATTCTATCTTTTCTGTTTTTTAGCAGAAGAAAAAGCTTATCAGAAAAAGAAAGTAGGCAGTTTAAGGTACAAAAAGTTTCACCTATAAGGAGTATGAATGAAATCTTTAGAAAGTGCTGCTTCATAGTTTTCAAAATAGAAAATACAAAATTTCATATTCTTTATGTATTCCTCGTTAGAATTAAACGAAGACATATTCGCATTCAAAAAAGCACGTTTTAGTTGCACTTTATACTAATCCCCGTTGAAGGTGCAAACACTGTAAATACTATTTCAGAGTATTTGAAATCATCAGAAATCAAAAAAAAATCTCTAAAAATAAATAGATGTAATAATTTCATAGATGTCAGTAATCAAATTGTCTATCTTGTTGATATTTGACATATCCGTCATAAAAATGAATACTAATTATTGGGGAAAATTCGTGTGTGTGAATCATTTTGAAGAAAAGAAAATAAGCTGTTGCGTCAATAGAAAAAGCCTGAAGTTAATGGTGAATGTTTGTCGGTAAAATTTGAGTGTAACGTCGAATAGGTGATGTTATTTGCATGCGATTCTGCTTTCAAGGTTCTGCAGTTGTGTTGTGCGCACCATGAGA